CACCCCAGACCCGCCTTCCACCCAGACCCCGCCTTCTACCCCACTGGCCCCGCCTTCCACCCCACTGACCCCGCCTTCCACCCCAGACCCCGCCTTCCACCCAGACCCCGCTTTCTAGCCCATCGCCTCTACCCTCTCCTTGCAGACTCTGCGGGGTCACTACCTGTCCCCTCGGTCCTCTGTGTCCCCTTTCCCAGGCCCTGAAATGCCATTGTGTCTCCACCTCAAGCCCCAGACCTGGAAGGGTGTCTGTCCATTGTTGTTTTTGACATCCTTGTTGGCCCCGCGGTAGAGGAGGATCCTGGCGCAGGTTTCCTGAGGGTGGCAGCCAGTGTTCCAGACGGGAAGGAATAATAAATAAATAAATAAATAAATAAATAAATAAATAACACCATGAATAGACATGGGAACTTTGGAAATACTCTGTTCTAGACCCCCACTGCTGAAGAAAGCAGCCTCCAGCCCCATTTGACCCAGTCTTTAAATGTGTCTAGAGAGATGGGTTGAGTACATAAAATACACTGAGGGGCTGGGCCTAGTGGCCACACCTGTCATCTCAGTATACTTTGGAGGGTGAGGCAGGAGGTTCACAAGCTAAAGGCCAGCCTGGGCTACAAAGGGACTTCAAGGTCAGCATGGGCAATTTAGCCAGACCACGACTCCAGACAAAAAGTAAAAAATGGGTGGGATATGTAGACCAGTGGTAGAGCCCCTGTCTAGAGTCCCCCCAGTGAGGAGCTGGGGTGAGGCCCAGTGGTGGATCCCCTGCCTAGCACGTGCAAGGCCCTTGATTCAATTCCCAGCACTGCAGTATATAAACACATAAATAAATAAGGAGTTTCAAGGACTTAGAATGCAAAATACATCTAAGGCTATCTCAGGGGGTTGGAGAGACGGCTCAGTGGTTAAGAGCACTGATTCCCAGCACCCACATGGTGGCTGACAACCATCCTTAACTCCAGTTTCAGAAGATCTGACGCCCTCTTCTGACCTCCACAGGCACTGCACAACACAGGTGCACTTACATACATGTAGGCAATACGCTCATACACATAAAATAAGAATAAATGAAACAAAAAAGAATATCTCTAATATGGGCCAGGTGTCATGGCACATGCCTTTAATCCCAGCAGTAGGGAGGCAAAGGCAGGATCTCTTTGAGATCCAGGCCAGCCTGGTCAATATAGTGAGTTCCAGGGCAGCTGGGACTACAAGGAGACCTTACCTCAAAAAAAATTTTTTTATATTGTTTCCATGTTGAAGTAATGACATTTTAGATGCATTAGGTTGAATAAAATGAATGTAAAATGAATGTCACCTACTTCCCTGCCCTTAAATGTGGCCCCTACACTGTCGAGTGGGGGTTGGCATTTCTCCGTTGGATGGTACCAGACTGACCAGGTGGGTTCTCTGCCAGGCCAGGGGTCCTGCTCCCTGCACTGCAAGGTGCTCAGCATCTCTGGTTTGTACCACTAGTCTCCAGTAGCTGTTCCTGCACAGGGGATGAGCTCACATACTGCTAAGTGTGCTCCACAGACAGGACACAGAGTTCTTGAAGGGCATCTTGCCTTGTATTTCAGGCACTGAGCCTCAGGAGGGAGCCGAATTGCCCAACAGCTCCATAGTGTGGAAATCACTGCCTCTTTTACAGATGAGACTAAGTTCCCAGATGAGTTCAAGGTCACTCATAACTCAAGGTCAGGTAGCTCTGTGTGTGTGTGTGTCTGTCTGTCCATGTGGTCTGTTTGTGTGTATATGTATGTGTCTGTGTGTGTATCTGTGTATACATGTCTGTGTTTCTCTCTGTGGTGTGTGCCTGTGTGTCTGTGTCTGTCTGTGTGGTCTGTTTGTGTATATATGTATGTGTTTGTGTGTGTATCTGTGTATGTATGTCTGTGTTTCTCTCTGTGGTGTGTGCCTGTGTGTCTGTGTGCTCTCTGTGTATGTTCCTGTGTGTGTTTCTATGTGGATGTTCCTGTGTGTGTGTGTGTGTGTCCCCATGTGTGTCTGTGTGTATGTGTATTCCTGTGTTCCTGTGTGTTCTCCTGTCTGTCTGTGTGTGATGTGTGTTCCTGTGTGTGATGTGTCTATGTGTGTGATATGTGTCTGTGTATATGCTCCTGTGTGTGATATGTGTCTGTGTCTGTGTTCCTGTGTGTGCTCCTGTCTGTGTGTGTGATGTGTGTTTCTGTGTGTGTGATGTGTGTCTGTGTGTGTTCCTGTGTCTCTGTGTGATATGTGTCTTGTGTGTTTCTGAGCATGTGATGTGTCTGTGTGTGTATTCCTGTGTGTGCTCCTGTCTGTGTGTGATGTGTGTTTCTGTGTGTGTGATGTGTGTCTGTGTGTGTTCCTGTGTCTCTGTGTGATGTGTGTCTTGTGTGTTCCTGAGCATGTGATGTGTCTGTGTGTGATGTGTCTGTGTGTGTGTTCCTGTGTGTGCTCCTGTCTGTGTGTGATGTGTGTTCCTGTGTGTGCGATGTGTGTCTGTGTGTGTGTTCCTGTGAATGTACCCGTGTGGAGAATGGAGGGTAATGATGTTCCTCTTCAACTTCTACTTTGTTTTGGATAGCGTCTCCTGTTGGACACTGCATAAGCCAAGCTGGCTGGCCCATGAACCTCCACAGTGTCTCCTGTCTCTCCTTCCCACCTGACTGTAGGAGCTGGGATTACAGAGCCATGTTACTACACTTGCTGTACATGGGTGCTTGTGATTTGAACTCAGGTCCTCCCTTTCATCAAACACTTTACTCTGTGAGCCATCTCCCTCGCCCCCAGGTCTGTCTTTTTAAAGATCATTTTTATTACATTTATTGTGTACTGAGTGTGTGTCCACATGTCTGCACACGCCATGGCCCACATGTGGAGGTCAGGGACAAACTTGCAGGAGTCAGCTCTCCTTCTACCATGCAGGACTTGGGGACTGAATTCAGGTCATCAGACTTGGCCTCAAGCCCCTTCACCTGCTGAGCCATCTCTTAATCACAGTCTCTGCCCCATTCCAAAAGAATTACACACACAACATCCAGGTGGGAGGTATAGGGACATCTGCCTATCTATCAATCTCAGGAGATGCCCCATCACTCTCTGGCTAACCCTCAAGTCCCTGCAGTGACCTGGGAGGTCTCACCAGACCAACCTGCTCTGCCACCCTCCAACCTCAACACCTACCACATCCCTTTGCTCCAACCATGCTGACCTCCTCCTCCCCCTGACAGGCTTGCTTTCGCCCAAGGGCCTTGGTGCCTGCTGCATGGGCTTCTCTACCACTGGGATCTGTACACAATTTGTTCTCGGTTCATTCAAGTTTGGCTCAAATGCCATCTTTTCCGAGAGCCGCCCCAGACCGCCTTGTCTTTGTTGCTGTTGTTTGTGTCTGAGACGGAGTCTCACGATGACCTGGTAACCAGCTATGTAGCCCAGTCTGGCCTCAAATGCTTAGCAATCCTCTCCTGCTCACTGTCACAAGTCCCGGGATGGCAGGAGTACGTCACTCGGCTTACAACACCCTCTCTAAAAGGACCCACCCTGTTACTTCCTGAGAGTCATCTTTCTGTGACTCCCTGTGTGGCCCAGGTATTCTTTTAAGCCAATATACACATTTTCTTCATAACTTTGTCTGCCAGAAATTCCATTTTCTGTGTCGCTTGTCTCTTTAACATCTTTGCACCTTGCTGTGGTAAGTCACAGCCAGGTGTGGCTCTATCTATGGTGCCCAGCACCTGCAGCAGTGCCTAGCCCACAGAGACTACCCAGTGAAACATCACTCAGTAGGAGTGTTCTCTGACCGGAACAAGTCCAGATTGTGTTCTGGCGGTGTAAGCATGCCTGAACTGGCATACATGTGTGTTTTTGTATGTTTTCATACCCCACCCTAACTTGAGGGGCACAGGACTACAGTGTGGCTCACAAGCTCCCTTATCTGACTCTACCCAAGTTTAAATGTCCAAGCCTTGGTGAGCAGCTCCCTCCACTGGGAGCTAGGAGAACCGCATGTTTATTTACAAACTAGCACTTATCTCCTGGGATTGCAATTATTTGTTTACACATCTGCCTCTTTGCCAGACTGAGAGCTTCCTCCACCCTTCCCAGAGCCAGCGACATTCCTGATTCATCTTCTGTCCCCAGCACTTGGCACCAGGCACACAGTAGGTGCTCAAGAAATGTATTTGGAAGAGATGAGGATAGAGAATGTGGAGCTGTCAATCAATTCATTTGCTCAAGTCACTCAATTATTCATTCATCTGGTGAGTCATTTGATCTGTTAGAGACAGCAGCCACCTGTCAAGAGTTCTAAGCCCAGAGCTGTGCACAGTTCTGGTGGAAACCCATCCACAGCCTATCATTCATTCCATCAGTCACACAGTCATTCATCTGCTCAGTGCACAAAGATGCAGCAAGGATTACTATGTGCTATGGTCTCTGGACAGAGCAATCTATTAGCTTCTTTCCCCACTCTTGAGAGCCCTAAGGGGACCTGACCACTGGCAGGGGCTACATGGGCATGCCAAGAGGCAGAGGGGGCTGTAGCAAGCAGAGAGTGAGAACAGCTTGGCAGATGGGTGAATAGGTGAGTGGGGGGATAGGTGGATGGATGGGTGGGTGGGTGGATGGGTGGATGGATTCGTGGATGGATGGATGGATGGATGGATAAGTGGGTGGTGGGTGGGTGGGTGGGTGGGTGGATGGATGGATGGATGGATGGATGGGTGGATGGATGGATGGATGCATGCATGCATAGATGGGTGGATGCATAGATGGATATACAAATGGATGGATGCATAGATAGGTGGATGGATGGGTGGGTGGATGGATAACTGGGTGGATGAATGCATAGATGGCTACATGAATGTATGGATGCAAAGATGGATGGGTAGATGGATGGATGGATGAATAGATGGGTGATGGACGGATGGGTGGGTGAATGGATGGGTGGGTGGATGCATGGATAGATACAATGAGGATTACTATGTGTTAGGGGTTTGGGACAGGGCAATCTACCAGATTCTGTCCTCACTTTTGAGAGTGTCAATGTTTAGAGGACTTGACCTTCATTAGCAGGATGGATGAATGCATGGATGCATAGATGGGTAGGTGGGTGTGTGGGTGTGTGGATGAATAGGTATATTAGTGGATAGGTGGGAAGGTGGAAGGATTGATGGATAGGCAGGTGGGGGGATGGGTGGGCATATAAATGGATGAATGGGTGAATGAGCATATGGATGAATGGATGAGTAGGTATATGAGTGGATGGGTGGGTGGGTGGATGAATAGATGGGTAGGTGGATAGATGGATGAATGGATGGGTGGATGGGTGGGTAGATGGATGAGTGGGTGGGTAGATGATGGGTGGATGGGTGGGTAGATGGATGGATTGGTGGGTGGGTAGATGGATGGATCGGTGGGTGGGTAGATGGATGGATCGGTGGGTGGGTAGATGGATGGATCGGGGGGGGGGGAGATGGATGGGTGGTGGAAACAGGTTGGTAGGTGGGTGGGAGGATGGATGGATGGCTATGATGGGTAGACAGAGGACAGGGGAGAGAAGCGGAAAATGAGCTCACGCTTACTAAGCATCTACTTGATCTGACAGCAAGCAGAACATTTGCCCATTTGATCCTTTGTGTGAAGGGTATTCATGACTGACCCATTTCACAGATGGTGTGTGTGTGGAGGGGGAGCTGAAGGAGGCAAAACAACATGCTCATCTGTCCCTCTCAGAGGAATAATGCTGTATAATTCTCTGTACTCAATTTTCCCTGCCCAGTCTGACCGCATCCTGCCAATTGACACTGGCAATGATACTAATAATAACAATTATTATCACGGCTGTCTTCTAGGGATGAATACTTAATGTACACGCTCACTCATCCCTTTCAATCAGCTGACATGATTCCCATGACAGAGAAGACAAAGCCTCAGACCAGGAAAGGGGCTTGTTCAGGGCTCCCTGGGTGCAGACTGGCGGCTCATCCTTCTCTGCCCTCGTTGTGGTCAGAGGTCCTAGCCCTAAGGCCCACGTGAGGAGCAGGAGAACAGGAGGCAGCAAGCGGGAGGGAGATGCAGCACCACGTCGCTGGGTTGGACAAACACTCGTCCTCCCTTGGTGCTGAATATCCTGCTGGCTGCCACAAGGCGGCACTTGGCTACCTGCCAAATCCCCAGCACTGTGAGTTCTCAGGAGGCAGAAGGGGCTGGGGCTGTTTTGGAAGACTTTCTGGAGGAAGGGGGCTGGCAGATCAGCACACCCCCGCAGGTGCTGCCCTCCCTATGCCAAAGTTCCTGCAGCAGCCCTTCAAGGGTGCGGATCTCAGAGAACCCAGGGGGAGGCTGAGTTCTTACATGCCTGGCTCACCTGGGATCAGTTGTTATTCAGGTGGCAGGGGGATCTTGGCTCTTGCTGATGGCAGACCCATTTAGTGAGACACCACCTCCTCTTTACAGCCTATTCTTCCCCAGAATTTCTGGAGTGGAGACCCTCCAGCCGACCTTAAACTGCTAAACATAGCACACACTTTCATTCCCTCCCAGGCTGCAATTCCAGTCATTCCTGTCACTTGCAAAGGCCCCACTCTCTCAGCCTCCTGTCTTCTGCACATGCTGTGGCCCCTCTCTAGGTCATTCCTTCTCCCCTCACTTGCCCCTGCTGCCTTAACACTGTGGCATCTCCAGGAAACCAACTTCACCCAAGCCCAGGTTCAGACATGGCTCTTGCAGGGACATGGATGCCCCACAACTTTACTGCACACTCTGTATTGGACCATCAGCTCAACATCAAGCTCTGAGGATCTCAGTAAACATTTTTGGATGGGTGGATGGACAGATGGACGGATGGGAGGATGAGTGGATGAATATATGGATAGATGGGTGGATGGGGAGATAGGTGGATAGTACATAGATGGATAAATGGATACAGAAAAAATCTGGACAAGTAGGTGGATGTCTGGTACATAAATGGGTGAATGGAAAGATGGATGTATAGATGGGTAGATGGGTGAGTGGGTAGAGAGGTGGATGGGTGGATGGATGGATATATGGATGGATCAGTGGATGGATGGATGGACTAATGAATGGGTGGGTGGGTGAAAGGATGGCTAATGGATGGATGGATATATGGATGGATGTGTGGATGGATGGATGAATGGATGAATGGATGGATGGATGGGTGGGTGGATGGATGGATATATGGATAAGTGGATGGCTGTGTGGGTAGATGGATGGATAAGTGGATGAATGGATGGGTGGGTGGGTGGATGGATTGATATATGGATGAGTGATGGATGGATGAATGGATGGATGGATGGATCAGTGGATGGATGGATAGATGGATGAGTATATGGGTGGGTGGATGGGTGAATGGATGGATATACGAATGAGTGGATGGATCGGTGGTTGGATGGATGGATGAATGGATGGGTGGATGAGTAAGTGGATGGTGGATGGATGATGGGTGGACAAATAGATGAGTGTTTCATGGGACCATGCATGGATGGGTGAGTCGGTACACTGATGGTTGGGTGAATGGATGGATGGTTGGTTGGATAAGTGGACAGATAGGTGAGTGGATGATGGATGGATGAATGGATAGATGGGTGGGTGAATGGATAAATGAATGGGTGGATGTGTCAGTGGATGATGGGTAGATGGATGGGTGGATACGTGGATGAGCGTTGCATGGGTGCATGCATGGATGGATAAGTGGATCTGTGGGTGGCCGGTAAATGGATGGATAGATAGGTGGCCATGTCTGAGTGAGGGATGGGTGGCTAGATGAACAGGTGGATGGATGAGTGAGTGGGTGATCAGAATGATGAATGGAGGGTACAGAGCTAGGGGGCTGCGGTGGAGGGAGCCTGAGCTGGCGTGGGAACATGTGGCTCTAGAAGGACAGGTAGGTGTTTCTGGGGCTGACCTTGTTGTAGAGAGCACAGATGTGCAGGGCTGTGTTCCCTGAGGCATTCTGGGCTCCAGGCTCAGCCCCGTAGAAGAGCAGGTGTTCCAGGTGCTGAGAGTGGCCTCGCTGGCAGGCCTGGGGGGACAGGGAGTGGCCAGCAGAATCAGACCTCACCTGAATCTCTTCAAACCCCTTTGCCTTGAGGTCAGGAATCCCTCTCTCCATCTCCTCTTCTCTTTTTTCTGCTCCTATTCCTTTTTAGAGGCCCAGGCATTAGCTTTCCAGGTGTAAATGTTCAGTCACTCCAAGGTGTAGATGCCCAGGCTGGCCCTTCAAGAGGACCAAGCCACCTGCTCATCCATCTGTCTATTTCTCCAGTTCTTTTCTCTGTGGGGTCCCGATGTCCACACACCAGCTTTTACTCTGTGGGGACTGTGCTGAGCTTACTTCCCATTCTGTAGGGAACCCAGCCATCAACTTCCTATCTCAGTCTCTTAGATGTCACAGGACCCAGACATACAACCCCACCCCTACCCCCTGGCCCCAGCACTCAGGGACCGAGTCTGGATACCTGGTGTATTTCCTGCCAGCCGTTCTCATCTGAGATGCCCAGCTGGGCCCTGTTGTACAGAAGTAACTCGCAGCAGCGGGGGTCACCCCCCACCATAGCTGTGTGGAACAAAGGTGTCAGCCCCCGGCGGTCCTTGTAGTTGGGGGAGCCCCCAAGGTCCAGGAGTGCCTAGGGAGAGACAGACGGTTTAGATAGTCACGTGTGAAACAGCTAGTTCTGAACAGGAGAGGAGCCTCAAATGACCCATACTGACCAGTACCTACCTGTCTCAGTTCTCCCTGATGTTCTCCTGTGTGTGTGTGTGTGTGTGTGTGTGTGTGTGTGTGTATTGTCTTCACCTTTTTTTATGTGTATGACTGTTTTGCCTGCATGTATGTAAGTGCATCACATGTGTACAATGCCTGTGGAGGCCAGAAGAGGGTGTCAGATCTCCTGCAACTGGAGTTACAGACAGTTGTTAGTGGCCATGTGAGTGCTGGGAACTGAACCCGAGTCCTTTGTAAGAGCAGCCAGTGCTTTTAACTGCTGAGCCATCTCTCCAGCCCTTTCTTTGTTTTTGAGACAGGGTCTCTCACTGAACCTGGAGCTCAGCAACTCAGCTATGGCTGGCCAGCGAGGCCTGAGGAGCCTCCTGTCTCCACCTCCCCAGTGCTGATTGCAGGGTGCATCACCACACCCTACTTTTTCACTTGGTTGCTGGGAATCAAACACAGGCCCTCAGGCTTGTGTGGCAAATACTTTATGGACCAAGCCATCTCTCTAGCCCCTCTGACTCTGAGCCAGGCTGTCTCCAGTCTGGACCAGTCCCAACCCTGTGAACAATGAGTAACAGATAAGACAAGCTCTGCATAGCAGCCTCTGACATCCAGCTCAGCCTTTCTCCAGTGGGTGAATGAGGATGAGCCACTGGAGGGTGTCTGCGGCCAGGCCCCTCCTAATCCATGGCATGGTTGTCAGGGGACAGATGGGAGAGTAGGATTTAAGTGCAAGAAAGTTCCTGGGGCTGGGGAGATGGCTCAGTGGTTAGACCACTGTCTGCTCCTGCAGAGGACCAGGGTTCGAATCCCACCACCCACATGGCAACTGACAACAGTCTGTTACTCCAGCTCCAGGGGATCCAATACCCTCTTCTGACCTCCACAGGCACTGGACAACAGGGGTGCAATTACATACATGCAGGCAATACCATTGTTGGGGAACCCTGCTGTTAAGGTCGGGCTCCTTTCTCAGCAGGGCCTTCCTGTCTGACTTACCTGGAAAGTGCCGCCAAGCAGGGATACCTGACCTTATTTGGAACATGGCCTTTGGCATAGTTACCGGCAGTAAAAACTACCCCCAGGTTTTTTCTATATGATAATTAGGCACTGCCCTATAGCCAGATGATAGGATCCCCCCTACCACATGTAAATAATGCATACTATGAGCACCTGTCAGCTGAGGCTTTGGCTGCTGCCTCCACACTATATTTTCCCTAACCCCCACTGAATAAACGGAGCTGTGTCACTGAGTCTGGAGCTGTCTGTATCACTGAATCTGCCTCCCCAGAAGGGCTTTCTTCTGTCAGTGCTCACTGGCCATCCTGACCCCGTTCCTCACTTCTGCTCCTTTTGCCCTCGTGGACCGATGGCCAATGACCCACAAGGGGAGGGAGAGGCCCCACAACCACCATACACATAAAATAAAATTCATAAAAAAGAAGGTGCCTGGCCAAGCAGGGAGGGCTACACAGACTCTCACTAAAGAAGTCTGTGAAAGACAAGCTTGGGGTGAGCTCAAATATTGAGCCAACTTCCTTGAGGATTGGGGTTCGAGGGGGAGGGACACCTCTGAGTGTGGAAGGGGAAGAGATTAAACGTAACTAGGACCAAGTTTTGACAGCATCCCCTGGAAAGCCTGCAACAGCCCTGTGTAGCAGGCGTCTACAGCCGCAGAGATGATCTCGGTTGGCGTCCAGTATGGCGGCCACAGGGGGACCATGAGCACCTGACTGCAGCTCACCAGCCAGGGGAACTGAGATTTTAATTTTACTCTGTTTTAATTAATTTAAATCTAAACAGCCTCATGTGGCCAGTGGTTAACAGATTGGACAGGAGAGAGAGAAGGAGAGAGAGGAAGAGAGACAGAGAGGGAGACAGAGACAGAGAGAGAGACAGAGAGACTGAGAGACAGAGAGAGAGGCTGAGGGAGAGACAGAGACTGAGAGACAGAGAGGTTGAGAGAGACAGAGAGACATAGAGAGACTGAGAGACAGAGACAGAGAGACAGAGAGAGAGGCTGAGAAAGAGGCTGAGATACAGAGAGACAGAGAGACTGAGAGACAGAGAGAAAGAGAGGAGAGAGAGAGAGAGAGAGAGAGAGAGAGAGAGAGAACCACATGGGTTTGTCAAGTGCCTTTTTGGCACATGAAGACTGTTAGTTCTGTCGGTAAAAGCTGGTTCTTTGAGGCCAGGATTTGCCTGCCTCAAGGGCTCTTTGGGAAAGTGTGGAGAAGAGTATGGTGCATCTCTGCAGCAGGGCATCTGTGATACAGGGTGTGCCTCTGTCTTTGGGTACAGCCCCTCCCTCCTGTGCCTAAACAGGGTCAGGTGACCTGGTGAAGGGAGAAGAAAAAGAATATTTTAAAATAAGACTGTGCATGCAGATCCTGGGGCAAGGGTGGGGGGTAGCTCAGTTGGTAAAGTGCTTGCCGTGAAAACTTGAGGTCCTGAGTTCCACCCCCAGATTCCAAGTAAAAATCTGGGTGTGGTGGTGTGAATTTGTAATCCCAGCACTGGAGAGGCAGAGACAGGTGACTCCCTGGGGCTCTCTAGCCAGCCAGACTAACCTAACTGGGGAGCTGTGGGTCTCAATGAGAGACTGGAGAGAGAGAGAGAGAGAGAGAGAGAGAGAGAGAGAGAGAGAAAGAGATCCAGAAACTTTCCAGGGATTTACGCTCAAAGTGTATGGTTCCTGAGGAATGATACCCGAGGCTTCCCTTTGGCCCTCACATGCATCTGCACATGCATGCTCCTCTGTACACACACATGCACCTTCATGCACACATACATACACAAAAGAAAACTCCATACACATTTGTATGCATTCTGTGGATATATAGACCTTATTTGTTGGTAAAATACATTTTTTTTTGTCTGTTGAGACAAGGTCTCATGTAGCCCAGGGGGGCCTCAAACCCACTATGTAGCCCAGGCTGGCCTCACACCCACTATGTTACCCAGGCTGGCCTTGCACTCCCAAGCCTCCTGTATCCACTTCCTGAGTTCCGAGATGCTAGGCATGTGCCTCCATGCCTAATTTGGAGAAGGTGCATTTTTAAGGGTTATTTTTAATTTTATGTGAATGAGTGTTTTGCCTGCATTTTTGGAGGTGCACCTGTGCATGCAATGCCCATGGAGGTCGGAAGAGGATGCTGGAGCCCCCAGAAACTGGAGTTAGAGACAGCTGTTAGCTGCCATGTTGGTGCTGGGAATTGAACCTGGGTCCACTACCTGAGCAGCTAGTGAGCCATCTCTCTAGCCAGGGAAGATGCAATTTTGTCTCGGGAATGGGAGGAGGTGGCTGGATTTGCCTAGGAGAAGAGCGAGTTTTGGGGGCTGAGGTACTGGGCTGGGAAGGGTGGATGGAGGGGCGACAGGGTGTGCACAGAGATCTCTGGGAAATAAGGAGCTCTCTTGCTGTGCGTTAAGGCCCTTAAGGGGTTGACATCTTCAGGGGGCAGAAGTGGGGTGAGCACTGGGCCGGGCAGAGGGAAAGGGGCCAGTTTGAGTGCCCTGGGAGAAGGTTGCAGTGGACAGAGGTTAGAGGGCCTACCTGGGCTGTGGCATGATGTTTCCACTAAGCTGGGGGTACCTAGGGGCCTGAGGACGGTCTCTCATTCAGAAGACTGACAACAGAGACTGTTTGTCAGTGTGTGGAAACAGACTGTGCTGTGGGCTATTTGGGCTTTGGGGGAGGAGGGGCAGTGAAGCAGGGTCTTATGTAGCCTAGACTGGCCTTGAACTCCTGATCCTCCTGCCCCTACTTCCTGAGTGCTGGCATTACAGATGTGAGCCTCCACATCTTGCTGGAGAGATTCTTTTTAACAGAAATAAAAGAAGGGTTGGAGGGGCTGGAGACATGGCTCAGTGGTCAAGAGCACTGGCTGCTCTTGCAGAGGACTCAGATTTGGCTCCAGCCCCCACATGATGGCTAACAACCAGCTGCAACTCCACTTCTAGGGGATCCGACACTCTCCTCTAGCCTCCAAGGGTACAGCACGCACATGGTGCACTTACAAACATTCAGGGAAAACACTCATGCATGTGAAATAAAAATAAATAAATAAATAAGTAGAGTTGAAGAAAGAATAAAATGGGAAGGAGAGAGGCCCCCCCAGGGGCGTTGCCACAGCCTCACCGTGAGTGCCAGGCAGTGCCGAGCACATGCAGCCTTGTGCAGTGCTGTCATGCCGTCCCGAGCCCTGAAGTCGATGTGTGCCCCGCCCAGGCACAGGGTTCGAATCACCTCTACTGAACCTTCCGTCTGGGCCGCCAGGGTCAAAGGCGTCTCTGAAGAGCAGGAGGGCACCATCACAGGCAGCCCCTACACCCCCCCAGTTCTTCCCACCTCCCAGACTCCACCCCAGGCTTCCCCAGCTCAGTTCTCCACAACCTCTGGTCCCTCAGCCTCGGTCTCTGGAATGTGACCCTCTGGAGTGGAGGTGGCCTCCCGGCCTCTCTGCCCAGCCCTGCCTCCTTGCCATGGTCCTCCATGCCCTATGCCCCTTCCTACCTCCAGAATCTGAGTCATGGTAATTGGGGTCCAGCCCCTTGTCCAGCAGCCTCGCCACCTTGTCAGACGTCCCGAGCTGCACATATTCCAGAAACTTCTTCAACCCCGTCTGAATCATGTACAAAGAAAGACAAGAACCGGCTCAACAGTTAAGGCACTGACTGCTCTTTCGGAGGACCCAGGTTCCATTCCCAGCACCCACATGGTGGCTAACAACCATCAATAACTGCAGTTCTAGGGGATCTGACACCCTCTTCTGGCCTCTGCTGGCACTGCATGACACAGACACACACACACACGCATGCAGGCAATACACTCATACATATAAAAAATGTTTTTAAAGAACAAAGACACCTAGTAGGATAGGGCACCTGTAACCTGTGCCCAGGAGGCAGAAGCAGGAGGATGGTGGGTTCTAGGCTTGTGCTACACGATGAAACTCTGTCCCAAAAAATATATATATTTAAGTTAGATATGGTGGTGCATGCCTTTAATCCAAAAGCAAAGGCACGTGGATCTCTGTGAAATTGAGGTTAGCCTGGTCTCCATAAGTGACTTCCAGGCCAACTGGAACTGCTAGGAGACCCTGTCTAAAATATACATCTTTTTAAAGGGAAGGGGAACTGTGAATTATACTAAATCCATCTTGAGGATATATGCTCTTAAATGAATATATATATTACTGTTTCAATATAAAATCCATAAGAAAACAAGGTATCACAGGGACGGGGGCAGTGAGATGGCTCAGTGGGTAAAGGTACTTGTTGCCAAACTTGATGATCAGCGTTCAATCCCTGGAACTCAGTTGTTGAAAAAGGAGAACTGACCCCTACAAGTTGTCCTCTGACCTGCACGTGTGAGCTGTGACACTCACATGCATGCACGTCCCCCCTACACATCCACAAGATAAATAAACAAATGTCATTTTAAAAAGGTATCATGGAGCCTAGAAAGACGGCTCAGAAGGTAAGTGAACTTGATGCTCTTACAGAGGACCTGAGTTTGGTTCCTGGTGGCTCACACCTGCTTGTAACTCCAGCTTCTGAGGAATCTGATGGCTCTGGCCTCCATGGACACCTGTACTTACATGTACATACCCCCCTCACATACATACACACACACACAGACACATGCACATAATTAAAAATAAAAAAAAATCTTTTTAAAACGATATGGAGTTTTTACAATTTCCCACTCACACTGTGACTCAGTTCACACCTGTCATGTGCACTCAGGAGTCACACGTGGCCAGTGACTTTCAAAGTGGACTGCACAGGTAGGGAAGGCTGAGGCCATGGAGAGAAGGGAAGAATTTAGTGGACAGTGAGGTGGTAAGAGGGTTAGGACCAACCAGGGTAGTTTCTTTCTCCATCATGAGTCATTTCCCTGGTGGGACACTCAGGAGGCAGAGGCAGGCAGATCTCTGTGAGATTGAGACCAGCCTGGTCTACTTATAGAGCTCCAGTCTAGATGAGGCTACAGGGAGACTCTGTCTTAAAAGAAGCAAATAAAAAGAATTGTGTCCTGACTTCCAGCTCCTAGGGTACCAGGTCGGACACAGGGGACATAGCGCTCAAGTATGAGAGGGAAAGGCCCCCGAAAGGCTGTGGAGCCTGCATTTGATGGGGATACAGGCTGTAGGACTGGGGAGCCCTGGGGTGTCTGTGAAATACACCCTAGGCAGGAAACTGTGAGGAGAGTAAGAGGGTGGCCAGACAGGTTGGAGCATCTCCAGGAAACAGAAGGCCAAAGAAACCACATGAAGGGTTGGGAGCTTGCCACAGATCCCCAGAGCCCACATGGGAAAGCCAGGGGTGATGGATGTGCTCAACACCCCAGTGCTGGGGATTTGGGGTGGCCAAAGTAACCAACAGTAACCCCAGTGCTGGGGATTTGGTCGGCCAGAGTAACCAACCTGGTGAGCCCCAGATCAGTGAAAGACACTGTCTCAAAACTTAAGGTGGGGCTGGTGAGATGGCTCAGCGCTACCAGGCTGAGTTCGATCCCTGGATCAGCGTGGTGGAAAGAGAATCAGTTCCTGCAGGCTGTCCTCTGACTTCCACACATGCTTGGATACACACATAAATAAATGTAATAAGAAATGTCAACCCCCCCCCCCGAAAACCTGTTTGGGCTGGGGATGTGGCCCGGTGGTAGGGTGCTTAGTATACACAAGGCTCTGGGTTTGATCTCCATGTGCAAAAACAAACAAAAAATAAGGTGGACAGCACCTGAGAGTAACATCTGAGGTAGCCTTCTGGCCTGCATACATACACAAATATTCACACACACACACGCACACAAAGGAAACAGGCATAGATGGTAGCTGGGCAGGTAAGGCCCAAGAGGAAAGTGGGAAGGGAAACAGAATCAGTATCAATATTAAGTGGGGACCTGGCAGAACAGAGGGCTTGGCAGGGTGGAAGGCCTTTGAAGGAGACAGGGAGATGCAGGGGGCTCCCCCAGGGAGGTCCTCACCAACAGAGCACTCTCACCTTTGTGTGCAACTTGGCCAGTTGTTTCTCATCCAGGTTGGTCTGTTTGTAGACTCTGGTCTTGTAGCGGAACTAAGGTCAAGGCCAGGGTGGGGGGATAAGGGGGAGACACAGACTTGCAATCAAATTCCTTTTTGGGTGTATTAGGGGGTAAGGTCTGACCCCCACTTCATTCTCCCAGGTTAAGGGTTGGGTATGCAAATGGCCTTGGGTGGGGAGACTTTTCTCAGAGTACCAAGTCACTGAGGTGTGTGTATTGTAACCCCACCTTGTAGTAGGCAGAAGGAGCCCCCACTCCATGCACACATAGGATGTTTTAGAATGACTACTGTAGTTGGGATCCCTTCTCCAATTGATGGGCATAAGGAACAGCCCATCAGTTGGAGCAGGGATCTCAACTACAGTAGCAGGGAAGAGGGCACGACAGAGGCCACTCAGCTGGTGATCTGGATGCGGAGCCTGGGCCCCTCCCCTCTCTTGTGAGTCTGAAGCCCATTGGGTTTCACTTGGAGTCTGGATTGGATGTGTTTCAGGGCATGCCTCCCTCCCCTCTTCTGTTGGGGATGAGTTCTGGGAGACCTGTGGCCTCACCTCCAGGTAGGGCACCCCCTTCTCAAAGGACTGGGGGTACTCCCTCAGCAGCCTCTCTTCTTCCAGGAAGTTGGCATCCCGGCCTGAGGTGGCCGGCTGGAACAGGCCATAGTTAAGCACATCCTGTAGGCTCTCACTCAGGGCACAGAGCACCTGCTGTTTGGCTGTCCAAATGGTGGCATCGGGGTTAAATCGCAGGCATTTCTAGTAGGAGAGAAGAAGGCCAGGACTAGGGTGGGTGGAGGGTTGGAGGTAGGCGGGAAAGAAGCAGAATCTAGCTGGGTGGGGGTGGGGGGCCTCTTTGGACCAGTTTGGACTTGGCAAGTGAGTGGCCAACTCACCGTCTGGTGCAAGTCGGGGATGCCAATCCTGAAAACCATCATGCTGAAGTGGGTGTCGTCGGGGACAGACATGGAGCGTCCCTGGAGGCCTCCGGCTGAGGCCAGGTTACCAGGTGCTCCGCTGTCCCGGCCCCGGGTCCCCCTGGGGCCTCTCCCTGGCCCGTCTGGGGAGCTGTCGGATTCTGAGCCCCCCTCGGGACACTCGCTGGCACTGTGACGTTCCTCGTCTTCGCTTGTCGCGGGGCTGTGGGTCATCGTGGGGCCACGGGGCGACGGGGGATGGCAGCATCACAGGCGGCTGGAGAAGGTGAGGGTGACCCTCAGAGTGGAACCCTTCAAAGACCTCGAGTACCATTAGGCAGACAGACACAGAGGCAGCCTGTCCCCTTTGCCCTGGGTAAGCAGGGCAGGCTGGGGACACATTTAGACCTCTGCACAGGCGAGCTCACACCACCTCCGCAGCCCTGCTCCTAACACCTGTCTCCTGCCTGCCCTTGGTCCTGCTTGCAGCCCCCCAACCCCCCTGCGCCCCACTTTGCTGCTGACCCAGTGTGTCCCAGAAATTGTAGAATCACCACGGGGAGCTACTGGCCCACTTTGTCAAGTCACAGAAAAAGAAGCTAAAATTAGCTAAGGACAGACAGGTGGACCATCCCATCCCAGCATCTTGCCCTCCTGGCCAGAGTCTGGCCTCTTCACCCCAAGGAGGTTGAGACTGACATTTATAGTAAAGCTGAGCTGGAGGTGTCAGTGGTGAGCCTGGGGCAGCAGGAGGTGCCAGAGAGCCCAGTGACTTCACTGAAGTGTGGCTGACCACATGGAGGGAGGGCTGCTGGGGAATTGGTTGTTGTCCCTGGGGGGAGTGAGGCACAGGAGGGCCAGGGATGTACAGAACAGCATCTCCCATGAGCTGTGCCTGGGAAGTGGTGAGAGGTTACTGGGGCATGTGAAAAGGCTGTGTGGGTGGTTGGAGAGGACAGTCCAGGTGATACCCTGTGATGGCCTGGGAGGGTGTGGGCAGCTGTGGATGACCTGTGGGCGTGTTTCAGGACTGGCACAGCAGGGTGGGTGGCTTGGCACTGCAACCACACTGGTGTCTCCACTAAGGAGCATTCGGAGGGGGGGAGGTGGCTGGGGAGGAGGCTAAAAAGTGAGGTGCGGCAATCTGGGGGACCACGTTGGGGAGAAGTCATCCCCTTAAGGTGGCCTTCTGAGGGGTGGCTCCCTTCCAAATGGGGTCCCCTTCCCTCCAGCTCCGCTCCCCAGTCCCCACTCTAGCGCCGGAAACCGTCTGCCCCCCCCCCACACACACCAGGCCCGTCTCCTGCACCGTTGCCATGGAGATGGGAAGCAGTGGAGGGTACTGCTGACTTTGGGGGAGTGGGGATGGGCTGGGTTTGGGGTGGGGGGGAGGGCTGGGGAAGAGGAAAGAATGTGTAAGGTAGTTCCAAGAACTGTAGGCGAGCAGGCGTCTAACCACGGGCTGAGGGCCCCCTCCCCGACCTGGGGACAGAGCCCCGACGCCCCCTCCCCCTCCCCAGGTGCCCGGCCTTGCTGCCCCACCCGCCTGGCTCGGGAGGAACCCCCTGCGCCGCCCGCTGACCGTCCCACCCCACGTCCCACCCCACGTCCCGCCCCGCTCTGCGGGGCCCCAGCCACTCCCCCTCGGCTGACCCAGGCTGACATCCCCCTCAGCAGGTCCAGCCCTCCAGGAGTGGGGTAGCAAGTGGGATGAAAGGCAAGCTGGGCCTGGGTACCAGCCCCCACTCCCCACCCCCCCAAGACCTGGCACGGCTGCCCCAACCCCCAGGACAGCTCGGCCCCTCCCCCTCAGGCCTCGAGGGAGGGAGCGGGCACACTCCGCCGGGGCGGCATGAATCAAAAGCTCCCAGGCTAAGAATAGCTGGCACGCAGCTGGTACCGAGACGGGCTGAGGAATCGGAGAGGGGGGGGTAGCGAAGGGGAGAGAGGGGGGTGCCCTGCGAGGCTGCGGGGGGCGAGGGGGGAACAAGAGGCGGTTGGCGTGGCCGAGAGCCGGGCCCTGGGCGAATGAATGGAGGGAGGAGGGAGACCGGGAGCTCCGGCTGCGACCTGGAGGCTGGGTGTCGGGGGGAAACAGCCCGGGGTCGGCAGAGGGAGCCGGGACTGGGGGTGGGAACCGAGGGGGCGCGCCGGCCGGAGGCGCGGTGGGCACCGGAGCAGCGGCGGGACGCAGCCAGAGCCGGCTGCCTGGGAGGAGGAGCGGGAGGAGCCCCGGGCTCGGAGGGGGTGGGGACCAGGGTGACCTAGGGGAGGGGCCCAGGTGCGCCCCGGTGGACGGGGCGGGGGAGTGGCCCGTCCGGGCAGGGCTGGGAGGCGGGGACCACGGCCCAGCAGTGGCCCTGGAAAGCCCGGGAGACCGGTAGGGGTTAGGGGGCGCAGAGGGCGGGGGATGGGGTGCACCCTCCCTGCAAGGATTCCATCTGGGACGGGACACCCGGGACCTGGACGCAACCCAATTTAATGTCACCCCGGGGCCACTCTTCCTTCCACACCCGCACCCTCCCAACACACACACACACACACACACACACACACACACACACACACACAGACACACACCCTAAATGCACACCCAGGCCGGAGCCCCGCGGCGGGACAAGGACATCCGGCGCGCCCCCCCCCTCTCGCGCCCCCCCCACTCTCCCCGTCAAATGCACACCCAGGCCGGAGCCCGGCGCCGGGCCAAGGACATCCGGGGCGCCCCCGCCCTCTCCCGCAACCCCAAGTCTCCCAGTTCCACCTCACCCCCAACCCCCAGCCTCCAGGTTCCCAGTGCCCTTACCTGCCTGGCGGGGCTGCTGAGTCCCGGTCGGCGGCGCCCGCGGCCCCT